GCAGGTGTCCCATATTAGCAGTTATGATGCATATTTTGAGCAATAGAGAATTGCAGCAGAGAGGTGAAAGAGCCACGGGGTTGCTGACTCTGCACTAAACAATAGAGAGCTTATTCTAAAAGTCATTGAATATACTTATTAAGTTTTCAGAAAGATATAAATCCAGTTAGGAAAGAGTAGTATAACCCATAAATTTCCCACTTTTGGAATCTAGTTATCTAGAATAAATGTTTTCTGTTATTCAAATCTCACTTATAATCAATGTATTTTATTGTTTAACCATTTGCTTTCTGATGTATGACATATGAGCATATAATTAGAATTTTGGATCAATAAGAAATTGACCCCCCCCCTTTTATTTTCTTTGCCTGAATTATTTGTGATTTATATTTTTGGGTAGGCAAAGAAACCCCTTTGCAAAGAAAGTGTGTCTCTCAAGTTAAGGGGTCAACTTCTTAGCAGGCCCTTGCCAAACTTATCATGCGATAGTTTCAAGAGAAAGAGAAAATGAATGGTCTAACTCTAAGATCACCCAGGAGGCTTTATTTATTTATTTGCTTCCTTTATTATTTTATAAATAATTCAAGGTGACAAATATTTCAGATAGTGAAATTAGATATAGATGATGCTGAAAAGTATTTGGGCATCTTCCTCCTATTTTACCAACAAAATCCCTGTGAAGTTAGCTAGGCTGAGAATGGCTGGCCCAAAGTCATCCAGGAAGTTTTCATATTTAAGGCAGGGCTAGAACTAACAATCTCTATTTCTAATCTGACATTCCAGCCACTACAACAAATTATGTTCTTTGTAATGCTAATTTGTGGCCATACAGAATCCTGAACATTGTTATAAGAATTTCCCTTCTTCATTTATAAGTGACTCAGTTGAGTCTCACACAATTTCTCTACAATATCTCTCATAAAATTTTGATAAACAAAATTTAGTGAATAATATCCTTGATTTATTGCCAGAGTATTTTTCAGCATTATTACCATCTAATTTCACAAACTATCCAAAATAATTTCATGAAAATCAAATTTTAAGTAGGCATTACTGATGACCATTCTTTTTCTACCCACCTCCACCTCCTTCTTTCATTTTGTAGGTAAATCCTTTTTTTTAATGGACAGGAAACAAATGCCCTATTTTAACTAATAAACTTTAATCAAATTAAAGATTCTTCTATCACACGTAGATCTAATCATGTTACTTTATTACACAGCGCCACTCTCCTTTCCCTGGTTTTACAGTGAGTATAGTTTTAAAAAAAATGGAAGAAGCAGTTAGCTTACAGAGACTCAGCTGAAAGAAATGTTAGCTGACAAAGACATTTTCTCTCCCCCTTATTCCAATCTTTTATCATATGAACTAGATGCTTGTATCATCTTCCCCTGAACTCCTTTGGTGATCATATTAATAATCACCTGTTGATTTATAGACAAAGTTCAAAATCTCCGAAAGTTTAAAAAACGCGCATCTAAACTCCAACCATAATCTGCCGTCACTGCCGAGTGACACTGCTACATAGTTACTACTCACCTAAACGCTGCTTTCCTTCGCTTAAGTTCTGCACCTTCTCCAAGCTCTTCCCGCTCTAAAGATCGATTTCCACTCCTTTCGCCTCCAGCTGTGCTTTTTTTTCGCGCCTTCTTCCCTTTGATACCCGGCGGGGGTGGGTGGGTGGGGGAGCAACCGCCTGCTAACCAATCGCCTTGTAGCTTCCGGATCCCATGACTGCAACAGAACGCCCACCCCCCTTCAATTGGTTACGCCAGAAAGGCGTGGGAAAGAATGGCGTTACAGTCCTCGCTGCTTGAGTATGAAAGGATCTTATCACTAATTTCTGTCAACCGAAATGTGGCCTATTCAAATGTAATAAAAGCTAGCTAAAAAGCGATGGAAGGTCAGTTTGACCTTCGACAGCTTTAAGACTTGTGGACTTCACAAGAAGAGTTCTCCACTCTTCTACTCGTTGTAGAATACCTTATGCCACCAGACTTGAAATTCTAAAACTAGAAAACCTTGAATTACGCCGTCTTCGGTCTGACTTAAGCATGGTATATAAAATCATACATTGCAATGTCCTACCTGTCAATGAATACTTCAGCTTCAACCATAACAACACAAGAGCACACAATAGATACAAACTCAAAGTAAACCGCACCAAACTTGATTGCAGGAAATACGACTTCAGCAATAGAGTGGTCAATGTCTGGAATACTCTACCCGACTCTATAGTCTCTTCCCCAAACCCCAAAAACTTTAACCTTAGACTGTCTACTATTGACCTCACCCCTTTCCTAAGAGGTCTGTAGGGGGCGTGCATAAGCGCACCATCGTGCCTACCGTCCCTGTCCTATTGTTTCTCTTATTCTTTTATTTTTCTTATATGTACCCATTTCATGTATTCACAACTATGTATACACTTATACTTATTATCTTGTAAACAATTGGCAAATCAAATAAATAAATAAATAAATAAACTCGCAGAATCCCTCCAGTCATGTTTGCTCAGAAATTCTGGGAGTTGAAGTCACAAGTCTTAAAATTACCAAGTTTGAAGCCGTAGGTCTAATGTTTAAGACATCACAGGCTAGAAACCGGAAGACTAGGATCTCTAGCCTCAGTTTAGGCATGAAGCCAGTGACCTTGGGCCATTCAGTTTCTCTCAGCCCAGGGAAGAATGCAATGGCAAACCACCAAAACTCTCTCGTTATAGCTTTGCTTTTTAAAAAAAGTAAGCTGGTTTGTCTGTAAACCGCCTTGTCTCCCTCGACTTGATAGGCGGCATACAAGTTTGATAAATAAATGGTTGCATGGTGTTTTGTTCATAATCTCGGAAAGGCGACTGATAATTTCTTCCCAATAAGGAAAACATTCACACAGAATCCAATGTGAATTCGGACATTTTTTTGTATTTGCCGCGATCTTTTTACTGCAGTCAAATGTTTGGTTTTTCATTGGCTGGTTTGCAACATCGAGGACACGTAAAATGGCTTCTACCACGCTCTGGACCCGGAAATCCCTTTCTCATGAGATGCGTTCCTTGTTATTGTTGTTGCTCTTTACGGGATCCGCCTCTCTCCTCGCGGCTAGCCAATAGTATAAAAGACCGAGGCCCCTGCCCAGTTGCATCGAGCAGTAGTGGTTTCGAGAGCTGAACGACTGGGATCTTTTTTGCGTCATGGCGTGGGAGGGGATGGCGAACGCTGAGCGTGGAACCTTGGGCTTTGCCGAAGTGCACTCGTCGGACGTCCAGGACCTGCTGGGCAGTCCAGTAAGTTCCGTCCAGCACGCCTGCTGCCTCCCCGGTCCTTCTCTTTAAGGGAGCTGCCTCCCCCAAGAGGCGTCCTCCAGTCGTGCGGGGTGGTAGAACAGCCCCCCTCGGCTTCAGCCCCCACGTCCATGGGCTGCGGCGGCTTAGTGCAGCTGGAGGGCGCCAGGTGGTGGACGCCGACTGATTGATGGGGGTTTGCTGAGCGTTTGGTAAGCGAGGAAGTAAGCTTCGTCCTGGAGAAGAAGCGGCCACCGCATTTGCTTTTGTGCTCGGAAAACGCTGTGTTACTAAGTCTGCTCTTCTCCCGTCCCTCTGAGGAGCGAATGACCCGTTTGGTTTTTGGTCGTTGCTTCAACAGCAGGGCAACTTTTTCGGGCTCCCGCGTTATAATAAATTGTTTTTTAAGGCTTTCCAAGTTGGCAATTTTGATTTTAATGTCAAGCCAAACGGAAACGCCCTTAATATCTCCGAGTAAATGTGTGATATGGAGATAAATGCTATGTGTGCTTCCTACATATATTCGTCAGTTTTGATGCTTTTACCTCCATAAACGTAAGCATATAATTGCAGCGTTAAGGAAGCAACCCGTGTGTTTTCGTAGTTTTATTAATATTGCGGTTAATCCCGGGGATAACCTACTAACTAGATATCTTGCACTGTAGCAAGTAGGCCAGTTAAGATGGTGACTTTCCGGTAGATCCCATGATATGCAATTTCCTGTTCCAAGGATTTTCAAGATGGTAGTTGTCCCTTGGTGTTTGTCTAGAATGTTTGTAAAGTTATTATGTAGCCAAAACTCTTTATTTCAGATATATCACTTTTAACTTCCTGTAAGGGTATGGAACATAAAAAATATTCCAGAATATTTTTTTTCTTTCAAAACTCTTCTAAGTAATACAACATGCTGGTGTTTATGGGTCCTACCCTACAATAAAGCTCCATACAATTTAAAAGCAAAGCTGCCCTGCTGTGGGTGTGTGGAGATAAGTGATTTCAATAAACTAGACCAATGTCAAGTTATTATTTTTGATAATATCTTTTGTAGACCTGCTTTTCTAATGATAGTCCTAACAGTCATAAAAGTATGCCTAAATAATACTTGCTTTTCTACTTCAAAATGGTGAGAAAGCACATTTCCATTTCATAGTCTTCCTCAGAGCAATGCCATTCTGAAAAGCAACCAAAAAAGGTGTATATATGCCTTGTATACAATGCATTGTAAACTAGAAGTAGGTTAATGAAACAAATACAGAAACATGTTTTGTAGTAAGAAGTTAAAATTGGATTACATGTTGGATTAAACATAAACATGCTGGTCATGGGCTGGAAAGCATTACAAACTGCACATATAATTGAATTTACAACACACTTATGAATATGTGCAAAGTTCCAGAGTTCCCAGTCTTGATTTGTATTATCCATTTTTCCATTGTGGATAATGCCAAATCTTTTTGATTTGTGCATACAATAACCTTGTAGCTATAAAAAAACCAAAGTTCTGTAACTGTTTTTCCATTTCAAATTTCAATAGATGTATATGTTTTTGCAATTATATATTTATATTTGTACATAGTTCTGTTTCAGTCTTAGAACGTTCAGAATGATAAATTTGTCTATTTTAAATCTAATTGTAAATAAGAGAACCATTAAAATTATATTCTGTTGCCCCAATTTTTAAATTGTATTTTACAGAATTTACAAAATTCTAGTATCTCACAATAAGTTAGCCTTTATGTTTGCCTATTGTTATTTCTTGTCAATAAAAAACTTCTTTTGCAGAGATTCAGAATGGTGTTTTTGAACCCAGTTTGGATTTTTATTTATTCAATATTCTCTGTATGGCATGACTAACATGATTAATCCATATTAACTTTGACTTTTTATCCATGATTCTGGGTATTTTAATCTTGGTGTATTTGGTTAGGTGAACCTGACCTAACGAAGTACTGAACTGTGCATCTGACTTAACCAAAGCACAGAGTGTATCCATGAACATCAATTAGCAGTCAGAATACATGATGAAAGCTTAATTTCATCATTGTTTTCTTATCTTTCTCATATGCAAGCAAGCACAGTTTAGGAGAATATTTAGAAGAGTGGGGAGAGGAAGAGGAAAATTCAGGTGGCCCTAACCCCAGTTTCCTGGTTCTTTGAACTACATAAAAATATTGTGATTGCTTGGTTCCTCTCAAAAAGAAGTTTGGAACAACTACATTGTTTTTTAATTGATGTTTTCATTTGCTATCCACAGATTTATGTAATGGATCCTCAAGTAAATTTCAATGTAACCTTCCAAGGTAATAAGTTCAACTTCCTTGTATCATCTAAAACCACATGGGCTGATATGGAAGCCATGGTGAGTTGGATCTTTGCCAATTGTGATTCACTGATCAATAACAGTTTTAATAGTTCAGTTTGCTGTCCTCACATCACTTAATGTTTTAAATTTTCACAAACATCTGGCTTTTTCAGCAGGCCCTAGAATAGGGTGGTCTCTGAGCCCACTTTTGGACATAGGTTTCAGATGAGTTGTAATTGGTCATCCATTTTCCCAATGTGACTGTTAATAAGCTTTAGTTATTTGTTTTTTTTCCCCTATCTTTGTTGTTTAATTCTAATATGTATTTTATAGCCTGCTTAGAATTCCTATTGTAATTGAAGTGGTAAACCAACAATTAATAAAATTTGAATGGATTGTTTCTGTAAAATGTTAAGAGTATTTATTAGTCATTCATGGAATGATCTCAGCTTTTTTCCTATCCTTTGATTAGCAAATTGGACAAATTTTATTAAAGCAATTGTATTAAAGTCCCCACTCTTCATTAATTCCATAGTTGGGGGAAAGGTTGAAGGCAATTTGACTGTTGCATTGCTGACATATCTATAGTATCCCAGCTATGCAGTAGTTAAACTAGTATAACATTAACATATTTTACAATTTCAACCTTCTCCCTTGATTTATGCACAGCTGTATAACTGCAAGATTAGTACTAGGAACAACAAAATTCTAGCAATCAAATCTAGATATTAATCTAATAATTGGTATAGGATACTAGATAATAATAAAAAATATATCTAGCTCCCAATAGTGTTCCCTTCATTTTTTAAATGTTATTTGTAAGTGAACAGATTTTTTTGGACCAGCACTTAACATTAAAAGAAATGAAAACTATTATTCTAATCAAGATTAAATGTAAATTTAGAATTGCTGTAGGTATTTAAAAATGGGCATGGACTTGCATGTTTTTGCTGCAAGTGGTTTATTGACATGTTTTGCCCTTTGTATGGAAATCTTTAACTTGCTAGTATACTTGTATATACTCATTTTTTTCACAACTTTGTACACTATATTTTTTACTGGAAGAAATTCATGTACTGCGTATTAAGAATTTTTGTTTTATTCTCAAGTTCCCCAGAATTTTTTAGTAAATGTAGTGCGTCTGTTAGATGAAATTGTTTACTTGATTTATTTTTAGTAAATCTAAAATTTGGTTGAAAACTCAAGACTACCAGGTAGGGGAGTTGAAACTAAGACTGCCAAAGTCACCTTTTGATTAATGGGGAAGATAGGTATGTGCATAATATTCTAAACAGCTTATAGACTTATTGATTGGGATGCAAAGCTTTGATTCTCTTAAGTACAACATATATATAGCTTGGATTTGAAAAAGTGGGGTAGAATTGCTCTTGGCTTCATTAACACTTTTGAGATATCAGTAAAAAATTAATCATTGCTGCCTGTTTCTCATTGTCATGGAGATGAGCCATTTCACTAATTAATTTCTGTTGTAGGTAAAAGTCTCATTTGAACTGAAAGATATCCAGATCAAATACCTAGATGAGGAACATGATGAGGTACTGGACTTCTATATCCCTATGAAGTCTTCATTTTAAAAATGAAAAATGTATCCTTGTACTTTTGAAAGAATAGAACACAAAAAAGAACTTAATATATATTTTTATAAAGAAGCTTTTTTCTCCTTGCAAAATAGCTTCCAGTCAATATTTGTTCTGTATTGTGTAATAGTTAGTTTCACAGATTATCTAATTTTTCTGACATCTCTCTGGAGGCTTGCTTACCACTTCAGGATTAAAAAGATTTTTTTTTTTAAAATCAGATAGTCTTTGATTTATGATCACAATTAAGCTCTGAATTCTTTTTTGTAAGTTATAGTCATAAAGCAAGACATCCAAGTAACTGCCTCACTCAATTATCATAATCCCAGCTCTATTAAGTGACCATGCAGGTCAAGGGGTGATGAAGGCCTTGGGAAACCTGGCACCTACTAACATATGGAAATCTGTGGTTCACAAGGCTGTAATTGGCTAGGTCCACTGACTCAATCAATTTTTTACAGTCTTAGACTCGCAGACTTCCTCCCTTCCCCCTGCCACTCTTGAAATTCCTGAGCCGCCTCATTCTACCACCATACCTGGAAGCCTTAGCTTGTTAGGCCTACCAATGGGCAGAAATCTGCCATGACCAGAAGACCTCAGCCAGCTAGGCACACTAGCACATAAGCCATCTCCTCCTTCCTGCCATTCCTGAGATGTGTGGGCCTTTTGCCTGTCCTATCATATCTGGGTCCATTTACCTTTCGCTTTCCCTGCAGCTGTTTCCTTCTCCCATGTTGAGGTGGGAATGGCAATGAATCTGTACTCATATGGATGTGATCCCTGCAGTCTGGATTTTTATCCTGTGACTGGCAGTGCTACAGTGGTTGGAACTTAGAGCAAGACCTGTAAGTCCCTTTGTTCAGTGCTATCATAATTTTGAAGGGTCACTGAACAAACAGTTGTAAGTCTAGGGTTAACTAATTACCTCTTTATAGCAGAAATAAGGTCACTTCTTGAATCCTGCCCCCCCTCCCTTTAATAACAATGCTTTAAAATATTTTGCTCTTGAAATTATGAAAAGACCAATAATTTATGTCTAAAACAAGAAGAATGTACATGCATTTTGCTCCAAATTTTCCCAGTCTTGAGAAATAGATATGACAGAAAATATTTTTGTCCAAGGAGGAGTGATTTATTTTTTAGTTGCTTTAGTTGTACAGAGGGCTTCCTCCTGATATGAGTTATATTACAATTTCCAAAATTCCTACCCAACATAGAACTCTGGCTGGGGCATCCAGAAAACAGCAAGTTGGGACGGGCTGGTACCTATACCAGTCATCTTTAAAATGATACGCCATAACAATGAGATGGCAGCATATTTAGGCCAGGGGAAAGACAGTGACTACATTTTGAATATGGTCTAACCAGCAATATTTGTTGAAAGAACTTTTTCTACAGTCTTAATTTGCATGGTCTTGTTGATTTTATTTCGAACCATGTAGTTTTTAGTAGGAAAGCAAGATGGGGAAAAGATCTGTTTAATAAAGAAATAAATGTCTGTAATAACCATAATGTCAGAAGCTGAACTACTGTTCTGTAATATCATGGAAAAATCCTGTTATGAATATTATTAGCAATTTAAAGCCTCCTTTCATGGTTTCATTTCTTTTCACAGGTATCCATCAACTCAGCAGGTAAGTTGCCTTTGGATGATTCATAAAATCTGTTGAGTCTTGCTGTGGTGTGAATAAAGGCAGCGATATAAATAAGGGACACATAGAAATAATAGTACTGAGAAGTATACTTTTGTACACAACATAACATGCCTTGTTTTCTCCCTGTAAATACTATATTCAGCTATTATCTAGTTACCCAGCATTTGTCTATTTCTACATTAGAATGAGGGTTTGTATCTGCAGTTTTTACACTGTCTTTTAAGGAGGAGGCTGAACCTAATGTCTTCAACTCTTTATTCTGTCATTTCCTAGTATGTAAAGTTTATTAAGTTCAACGCTTGTGAAACATTTAAATTTTCTCAAAATGAATTCAGAACTGAAATGTGGATTGATCATATTACCTAGGACAGGGCTGTCCAGCTCACGGTCCGCAGGCCAGGTGTGACACTGACCAGGCCCATGCCTGGTTTAGCGAAGGGGGGAAAGTTGTGATATGTCACATGACGACACAAGTTTGACACCCCTGACCTAGGACATGTGATTCTTCTTGGTTTTTTTTTCTTTTAAATAGTTTGAATATAGAATTCCATTACATTTGAAGATATGAAATTAATGACATGGATTGTACACCATAATAAAACTAGCAAGTCCTGCAGAATATTAATTTTGTCTTTCATAAACTTCCTTGTTATTGGATTTGGAGTTGAGGGATGAAATCTGTATCAAGTTATAAGAAGGAATTACCAAAGCAGTAAAATTATATTGGGCCTAAATATGATTAAAACATAGTAATTTATTTACAAATGCAATTCTGGACATGGTAATGTTAATATTAACACAATTTGTTTCTCTCTTTAGAAGAATATCAAGAGGCTGTTAAGGTAACAGATTAGACTAATTTGGGGGGCTTATTTTTATAGCAGTACAAATCAAGTCTTATAGATTTCTTGATGCGTCTGAGATTTTATTCTATTTTATCTCAGATAATAAAATCATTTAAACTAGTCCATACTGGTCCAGTTCCAAGATACTGAAGTTCTTTTTAGTCAATACTGTTTATCTATTTTGTCATAAAGAGTTATTCTCTGGACAATACCAAATTATTCCTATAATTGCTACCTTCCTCTTCAATTGGGTCAGAATACATCTAAGAGCTTCAGTTTTTATATTTCTTTCTCCACATTCTTTTGGTTGTTCTGTTAGTTTCTATATTAGTTTTAAGCATCTAGTCCTTTTTTGTTTTGCAACATTTCTGATTTTACTTGTGTTTCTTGTGTGGTTACTGTGTGTGAAAGATTATTCTTACTATTTTCATTCTCAAAGGTTTGTTTCCTAACTTCAGATTTAGAGAGTTTAGATTCTCTTTTCTGGTCTAATTCCTGTATGATGGATATCTGTCTGGTTGTGGAGGTTACTAGCTCTCTTGTCACAGATGGAGAAGTTGCAGGAGGAATTTTGGCAGAACCACTTAGTATCCCAGTTGCTAGTTATGAGAAGACTTAAGGAAATTTCTAGGAAATTAAGAGTGAAGTGATTATAGAAATAATTACATAAAAGAGGAAATTGGTTTTATCTTTTGGGGCCCTTAGAAATTAGGAAAAACTCCATGTATGTTGAGTTTGAAAAGATCCATTACTGATACAACATCCATCTGGCTTGATCAGTAGTCAATTTGCAATTTTTAAAAAATCCTGAGAAAACTATGACCTTAGTGCAGACCACCTGCTTTCCTTCCACCAGGCATTTCAACCTGTCACAATGCTATTTTTTTAAAATTTCAATTCTCAATAAATATATTAGTTTAGAAAGATAGGATTGTTTTTAAAATAACATATAGTTCATTAGAATGACTGTCCATGTACAAATAACTTTACTGAAAGTTTTTTTCCCCCAGATTGCAATGAAACACGGCAATCAGCTCCAAATGAATGTCTATGAATTACGAGTTCCTTCAGGCATGTCTTCAAGATTGGTGTTTGGGAGATCTGAGGAACCGTTTGTTCCAGAAATTAAAAAGAAGCTCCCAATTGCTCCAACTCTGATAAAAGACAAAGATACTAAAAGAAAGAACAAAAGGATAAAGGTAAAAGTAAAAAGATGTGTTTTCTGACATCTGGAACTATCCTGTCAACTATCCATTAACATATTTTTCTTTCTGGATCTTTCTGTCTGAACTTGCAAAGGTGTGGATTTTAATTGCAGTACATTGTGTGGCAATGCTTCATTCTGTTTTAATCAACCTTTATCTTTACATTAAGATCTTAAGATCTAAGGTGAATAATGCATATATTAGTCTATGTAGATATCCTCCTGAGATATATACAGCTTAGGGATAGTATATTGAGCTTAAATGCGTGGGTGAGATAATTATTGAAATTATCTCAATTTTTTTCTAATTATGCAAAAATAGAAAAATACACAGATAATTTATTCAAGGTCTGTAGTGTATTAATGATGAAATGTTTTGGGTTCTCTGATATTTATTCAGAACTGACTTTCACCTGTCCTAAAGTTAGTCTCTAATGCTTTAATTGTTCCCACATTTTATTGCTAATTGTTCTTGTTTCTTTTTACAATTTACTTCATTTCTATAAAATTCCTGCAAAGCATTCATGAGAGAATGTAAGTATTAAGTGGACTATGGTTTTTTTTCTGAAGGGTAAATATTTTCCTGGTTTTTGGAGTACATACCATTCTTCACGTTTCAGAAGAAATGTATTGGAAGAAGATTTGTTTCTTACAAATTATTAACTGAATTCACTGCTCCCCCCTGAATATATCATATATTTTTCTAAAAGTTTTAAAGTAGTAAAAAGCTGAAAAAATCATAAGCTATTTTCTAAAACCACTAGAAAAATGTAATATCAAAATATTCAGCTACGTTTAATTAACTAGTAAGTAATCCATTATATGCATTCAAAGAGATAATGCTGTTTAAATTATGCTAAAATATCCTCAGGTTTTTATGTACTCTACCAGTATTCTTGGCTATTAGAAGTAATAGGAGAGGTTTTGATTTGAGCTTTTAAAATTTTGGGCTGACTGAACATATCTGGCAAATTTCCAAGCATCCCCTTGAATACCAACGCCCAGGTCACATTCTGTTCTGCCAGAAGAATGACATTGTTTCTAGCAGCAAGCCTGGTCTTATTTTTAAGTAAAAATACCAAATAACAAACAAACAATATGGCAAAGTCTGAAGAGTGCCTTTATTTATTCTTTTAGTCTTGCCAAGTTCAATATGAATAGGTACAAGGAAGTTAGTTGTATGTTAAGTTTTGCTGCTATGTTTTTTTCAATCTCTCTAGAGTGAGCTCCTTCTCAGTGAGGTTCCTCCTGAGTGGTTCACAAGCTACTTGGAAAAGGTGAATGTGGTTTCTTTTATATTTGTCTTGTTATGCAAGAGGCCTTCAGAAAAGGCATGGGGAGGCAGTGATTCAAACAGAGTTGGAGAATAATACACCTCTTTTTACAGGTAAAGAAAAGGATATTATTCATCATGGGTAGAGCTTCACACACAAATTGATATTTGGTCCAAATTGGCAAAACCCAAATTTCCTAGTTGATTTGATTTAAGAGGGCAGTTTTTTCCAGCTTAGTGTAATATGGTCAGGAGGTAGGAAAAATCAATACATTCATCTCTCATGGTTGGTATATGATAACTGGAGGCATACAAGGGTGGTTGCCCAGTATACACCAAATTATTAATGTGTATATTGTATGCAGTTCTATTTTTCTTCAAGCCAACTTACTGCCTGTCCATTCTAGTGGAGTACATGCCTCAATTCTGGGAATGGGGATCAGAGCAAGAAACGAAAAGTCAGGATGTTTTTCTTTCTCTCTGCCTTTCCTTTTACAGTTCCGGGAGCAAGTTGTTCAAGACACTGTTAAAGTACTGGAACAGAAGTTGGATGACAAACTGTTTCTTACCAACCAGCTTCCAAGCTTCGTGAACACCTCAAGACACCAAATTCCTGCAAGTTCCTTGGTGCAAGGCAGTTCCTATGACTGGCTGCTCTCCTGTAATAATTGTCAAAATCCCATAGTGGGGATTCGCTATCAATGCAGGTAGGACACAGGCAGGGGTATTAAGATGCAAATTTCCATGGTTTTCCAGGAGGTTAGAAATTGGTATTCTGAGGTTTTCTAGTGACATTTGTTTGAGATGTATATAAATGATTTTAACAAACATGGTTTAATCATTATGTAGCCAAAGTGAAAACATGGGGTATCTCATGCAATCAAAGGTAAAGTTAGTGATATTTCTTAAATAATTGGAAGAGGAATATCAGTGATTTTCACATCCTTCCTCTCAATAAAATTTATTCTTAAAAAAAATAAATACAGAAATAATTAAAATTTAAAACACTATATAAAAATTTAGAACCAAGGAGATGGACAGCACAGGGATGAGATATTTTTTTACCTCATCACTCTTTTCCAGTGGCTCATGTCTCCACAAAGCCAACAGGCAAAACCAGGTTTTCATACACTTCCAGAAGGGCAGAAGTGTGGGAGCTTAAAGGGTTGAGGCAATAGCAGAAAAGGTTCTTTCCTTTGTCCTGACAGCTGTCCACACAAAATGTTCTGCAGATAAAAACTTTTTATTAGCACTTTTTTAAGCTTGTAAATCTACTCCCTATTCAGTTTTTCAATCAACATTTGAGAAAATAAATCTAGGGTTTCATTTTTCTTTCAGAAGCTTCACTGGCTCATAATTCTGCTTTTATATCTTTTCCTAAGATTTCATCCAAATATGTTGTACTTAAAAATACACTGATATCTCAGTATATCAGCACAGCTAGGAAAGTATTTAGCAGATAACTTAAACAGTTAACAGAAGAAACAGATCAGTAATTCACCACATTGCCTTTCTTATTTTCCCAGTGTTTGTCCAACATATAACATCTGTGAATTGTGTGAAGCAGGGTTATATTTCCATGACTCTAACCATGTCTTTCTAAAACTGCGGAGGCCCACCTTGCATATTTCAGACACACATAGTCTTGAGCAGCTGTCATCTTCTCTAGTCACTTCAGAGAAAGTCAGGTAAGCAACCAACTTCCTTGCTTCCATTGTGAATCCCTTGAATTATTTATATTTAGAGTGCTCATGATAGTGAATATACAAACAGTGAAGAAATCTCATGGAGGAATCAAAAATATAGTTAAGTTCATATTAACCTGGGAAATTCAACATCTGGTTCGTCTCCGTGCCTTTCTTTTCCCTATTGAAATGGAAAAGACTCCATCTTCATATTGGACAAAATTAGAATCTGATTTAAGACTAGGAAGAAAACAAGCAGACAAACATTTTAGCAACAAGGGAATGCTCTGTTGTTCAGGGAGAACTGGATGATGATTGTAGATGCCCTACTGAAATGGACAAAGGCCAGAATTTCTGATAGGGTAAGGCTTTATTTTGCAGGTAGTAGATGCTGCCTTTGTTTGGCTTTGTTTTAGTAAGCCTAGCCAAAAAAGCTTGCAGATTCCTTAAATGACTTTTACTGCTGAAAAGATGGCAACCAACAACAATACGGTATTTGGATGTAATGAAAAGGATGGTTGTTTATTGCCAGTGGTCCTCGAACCATGGATTGTCCAGCTAACTTAGGAGACATCCAGCTCCACATATTTTTTATTAGTGGAGAAGCGAAATTGATATCTTATTTCTAATTGTTTAGATTCCAGAAGCAGGTGGACAAGCATTTCCTGAAAGCAGAAAAGCAGCGTTTACGAGGAGAAAAGCAGCAGCGTAAAGCTGAAGCACAGGAACTCCAGAAGCAACTTAAATTGCATCAAAAGTTTAAACTATGGGACTCCGTCCATACTCTTGACCACACTGGTTTGGCAGATACAAAATCTGAGAGCCTACAATCCAGTACACTTCTGTAAGCAAGCCTGGACCTGGGTTATGTTTGGAAAGCACATACTGCATATTCTGTGTTGGCTTTTACTGGATTATGGGCTGCTTTCCTAGCCAACTCATGATTTGTGTATTTCTAGTATTTTCAGTATCTTTAACTTCCTACTTCTCTAAAAATACAGTTTTAAGAGACCGTTAGACAAATTGTGATTCATTGGGTCATCATTTCAAAGATACTTCCTTAACAGAGTAACAGAATGACCAAGAGCAAAAACTGCGGAATTGGTAATGACTTTGATATCCTGCTGGCTTTACCATGACTAATTGCATTCCAGCAGCCAATTGTGGGGAATCAGTGTACCCAGCCTGTATAATGAACCAAAATAAAATATAAAGGGCAGAGGACAACTTCGTCTTGTTTTCTTCTGGATATCACAATGGGTCTCAGATTTTTGGTAGGATAGCTGGTTGAGGTACCTTGGTTAAAAAATGGTTGTCCTATGATGGTCTGTTTTGCCCAGTTAAAAGTTACAGGAATGAGAATTTCAATAGTATGTAGGTTCATAATCCCAGCTTTTCCTAGTTAGCTAGGTGTGTTGGGTTACTGCTCCTAGAATACCTAGTTAGAATGGCTAATGAGCCTGCAGATTTTAAATTTTACTGATTTTTCTCTGGTTTCCTCCAATTCACAGTTCTCTGCAGCAATGCCCTGTTGTTTCCACACTGAGTGCTGCTTTTGTAGATGAGAATTTACCAGATGGAACTCACCTCCCACCAAATATTATCTTCATGAAGCATTGGCGTATGAGGAACACAGGCAACATTACATGGAGTTCAGATACCAAGGTGTTTTTCAATGTTTAATTTTTAAAAATACATGCTAAAATCTAGCTTTGGCATTGAGACTGCTCCCTTTCTTCACCTCCTTTAGCTTTTTCTGCATCAATATTGGGAAGGTACTTTGTAAAATGCATTAGTGCTTCATTGCATGTTTTGGGCTGAGTCCAGTAAATATTGGATCTCAGGAACGTAACTTGCTTATTTACACAAAGGTTTATTTTAAACTCTTCATCACCTACTTTGGAGTTTTGGCTATGCTGTTAAAAGCAGAAGCTATGGTTCTGTGCTGCTTTGGTTGCTAAGTAAATGGGAACTGAAGGATTCATTTTAAAGAATCAAAGATCCCAGATCACAGAACTGTACACATTCGGTGAATTGTGATTTGTCTCTTAAGTGTTATTAGTCTGTTTCATCATTGCTTGTCTCCAAGATTATCTAATAATTTTCTCTCTGCAGCCCTAGAGATTCTTGAGGGATGGGCTTCTATGTCATAGTCCCAGATACTTAAATGCAGGATTCTGATGTCTTCTTCACAATAATTTTTCTTCGTGTTGCATAGTGCCTGAGAGCCACAGAATGAAACTCAACTCAGAAGTTTGAATCTCTGTTTACCAACTTTTACTTAATTGAAGTCTTATAGGACATAAGGCCTAAAAATATTCATTCATGACCAATATGAGAAATTTGCATGTTTTGGTGTTACCATAAAATAATTTTCTCTTCGTATTTCAGCTAAAGTTCATGTGGGGAAACATAACTCTGATGTCTTCTGGAAAAAAAGATGTGATTGTGCCTTCCCTACTTCCTGGGGAGGAAGGGGTTGTCTCAGTGGAGTTTAAAGCCCCAGGCACGGAAGGAACCTATACCTCCCACTGGAGGTTATCACATAAAGAAGAACAATTTGGACCCCGGATCTGGTGCAGTATTGTGGTTGACTCCTCTTCCCCCACAATTTCCAATCTGCCTGACCATGGCAGATTGATGCCTAGCTTTTGCCAGAATAGTATGTCTCTTTTCAAAAAAGAGGTAATGCCCTCATATACCTGGCTCTATTTAAGACTGGGGGTTTTTTCTCTCAATATTTTTTTCTCCATCTCTCCCATTTTGTAATTGTATTACATCTCTGCTTTCTCTCTTTTTGCCTTACGTCTGTGTTGTCTCCAGTCAATGGCCCTCTTTAATGTGCATATTCTCCTGATTCAAATAATTTTAATTCATAGAATCAATCAGCTAATTATTCTTTGGGCTGTTAGTTAATTTGTTCTAACAATTTGAATCTGTGCTTGGGATAATGTTGGGATATAACAGTGTGCTATAGATACACCTCAATCAGGCTCAAAATTAATTGAAGGCCTAGAAAATAGAAAATAAAAGTGTGTGCACCATTGCTTTTCCTGTTCAGCAGGTAGAATTATATGTTCAGGACAAGGAGGATTTGGTCAATAATGTTCAGTACTTCTATCAGCTTGAAAGAGCAGGGACTCATTGGCAAAGTACATTTTTAAATTCCAAAGTCCTAAATTCAACCCCTAATGTTTTCAGGTATAACTGAGAAAAAAGAGATCTTGATCAGAAAGCATAGAAAGCAGTCTGATAATCAGTCTACACGCATTGAATATTATGGGGATTGTCATCCAAAACATTTGCAGAACTGTTACAGATCTTACCAGAATCAATGAATGAGTATGCCTGAGATTTCCCAAACAAAAATAGCATCCTGAAAACATCCTAATCTATTTAGCCTACTAACTTTATTCAAACTAATTGAAGGGTGGTGGTTCCATCTATTTCTCAGTTCAATAATATAAGGGATATATTATTTTTAAGCAAAATATTTAACTTCTGAATGAGCAAAACAATGGGAGAAAGTACTAGTGTCACTTATTTTATAAAATACAAAGATGTATTGAAGAAATACACTTTGCAAATTTATTTTGCATTTTTGTTTAGCTGAAGAAGCATTAAACAAAATAAAATTCCAGGTTCTCTATACCAAATATTTTAAAGAGATTGTCTTTTTTATATAATCTAGACTAACAAAATGAAAATGTAGGTATCAAGGTAGTATGGAATATGTACTGCAGTATAAAAAATGAAGTGCCCGAGTAAAACAGTTTGACTCAAAATCACCTTGGAGCATCCTTCAGTATTACTTCTTTTCTCTATAGGAAAGAGCTTCAGAATTTAAGGGGGAAGTAAGTTTGGCCAACAGAGTTGCTTCATCAATGATGAAAAGAATCCTCAGTGCTAGAGAGCTTTACATCCCATCACTTGATCTTCTCACAGCCCAGGTGAAATGTCTGGTACAGACCAAAATTCAAAATGGGTTCAGAGAAAAATGTTTATTCCATAAGTTTTCTCATTAAATTGTTCACTTTTGTTTTCGTCCCATTAGGATTTGCTCTCCTTTGAATTGCTGGACATTAACATAGTGCAAGAATTGGAGCAGGTCCCTCGTAATACTCCTGTTGGTAAGTTGTGATAAATATATTATCATCCTGCTTTTCCAATATAGTATGTCTAATTGGCATTATTGGATGCCAAGGCCCATACTTTTTCAGTAGAGATTCCCTGCAGGTGCTTGGAATCTTCTGGATCTGCTGCTGCTTTTTGCAATTACTGTGTTTTGCCTGCTCTGTTAAGCAGTGTGCTATTTACTTTTTGTGGAAGATTTTGAGGTTTCTCATAGTATGGAACTGTAATGAGATTTTAATTTGTAAGGCTTAGTCCCCTCATTAGTTTTCTCAAGGTAAGGATAGTTGGGTCAGCACTGCTACTCTTGATACTCTAGGCCAACATATTAGGATGTATTTAGCATATTATCCCTGACTCTGAATGACAGTCAACCTGAACAGGATAAATATGTGGACCTTTCAGTTCCGTATGATATGTGATGCTCAGCTAATCATGTGCCGATGCATTTCTCTCAACTATTGGAAATCTTTAATTCTTTCTATTTGGTTTCAGGTATGTTTAGTCCATACCTGCTGACCAGTCCAACACTTTCCTACCATCTGTAGGAAGGAAACCTTTAAAATGGTTTCAGAAATACAAAAAAAAAAGTTATGGTTCTTCCTTGTGGTATCATCCTTATCTTGCTTTACCAGATTCCATACAAGGTCCAAGCCCATACAAAATCCATGACTGCACTTCTCTGCCAAAAACAACTAACTTAGACCAGAAACAAGAAGCGAATGAGAAGATCACATATAAATTGATGTCTGGTAAGCAATGAAAAGTACTGTGATGAGCCTAAGAATCCCCTGTTCTTTCACTGGATTTCCTTATGAAAATAGAAGCCAATAGTCTTGACTAAGAACTGAATGACCAATCATTTTAATTGGCTTTATTATTGACAATCTATTTTGCTGCAAAGCTGCTAACTTTAGAATTTGGAAAATTTACCAGGTAGTTTTAGTGATACTGGCAAATGATTTCAAGGTTATACGCACTTAGTCAAGTTACATTATAGAGCAAGATAATCTAAATTGCTTTCAACAGATTTACCTAGTTTGTATTTTATATCTTCAGCTTTTTTCTTACAATATAGCCCCTGCTTCAGGATATCCTTCATCCCTTGATAACCAGGATATACTTGGCTCAACCTAAGTCTTTATTACTAGGCCTGTATTTAAATCCTGTAAAATTTATAGACCTAGAAATTTAGGTATTTCTATTTTTTGTATAAAAGCTGCCATATGCAGGTACTGAAATCTTCCTCCAAATCGGACTCTTGAAAATTAATGTTTTGTGAAGGTTGTTTTGTGGTGGTTTCTTGCCATCCTATAGCTTGAAATGGTATTAGACTTCCTCTTGATGTATCTCACTGCTTGAAGTACTTATTCATTAGGTAAAATGAATTAGATAAAAATGACTACCAGAAATGAAATGCAAACTCAGTATCTATGACTGCTTTCTCTATTCTGAAATTTTTGGTAAATACTGCCAAGAATATTTAATCTCATTTTTAGAAGCTCAAGTCAGCAAAGGGAAGGCTGAAAATTCAGGAAACCAAGAAGAAGGAGAGGAAGATATGAGTGGAACCCAGTTTGTATGTGAAACAGTCATTCGTTCTCTCACCTTAGATGCTGCACCTGACCATCAGCCCCCACAAAAAAAGAAGTCTTTTCAGAGTGAGCGCTTTCAAATATTTTGTTAAAAATTTAGCCTATTCAGAAAATACCTCCAGCGTAATGTATTATTTTCTCTTTTTTGTTATTGTTTAGATTCTCTGCAAACACTGTCCAATGTTGCCCACTGCAGCCCAGAGAACAATGATTCCATTAACCCTGTGTCTGTATCAGAGGAATTAGAAGGCAAAGTACCAACTCCTGAATTTGGTAAGTCTTGATGGTTAGGCTTTGCTTTTCTGAAGAGTTAATGAATTGAATGATGAAGCCATTATGGAAAGGACTGCAATGTTGACATTTATGCTGAAACACTATTTCCTGTCTTCTGCCAGGAAACCGCGCAGTGCAAGATGGTGAAGAATCAAAAGGAGGAGAAGCTGACAGTAATACTCAGGATGAAGTCAATAGTCAGGCATCTTCTTTTTCTGAAGATTATATCGTTGTCCTTCCAGAATGTTTTGATATTAGTCGTCCTCTGGGCGAGTCAATGTACAGTTCAGCACTCTCTCAGTCAAATTTAGAAAAGGTGACCATGGCTCCAGCAAATCCTGAAGAAAGCCACACACCAATCAGTAGCACCAGCGATACGTTGATTACCTCTCAGACCCTTGATGAAGTGTCACTGACCACCCCTCAGAGTGGGGAACCACGGCTAATAAGGTACCAAGTGAACCAAGAATAATCCAGAATCTTAAGATGTCATTATTTCCTATAATTATAAGTAGCTTCCCAAAGAGAAATGTTGATTTCTGAGTGTACATACCAACCCAACTGTACACACAAATCCAAATGAAAAAAGAACCATCAGGAATTTTACTATAATAGATACATTATATTATAACAGAACTACCTGAATGTGTAGCGTAGACCAGTATCAATTTTCATTCTATGGAACTTTTGGTACACTATTATGAATACCTGTTTGTTGTTCTCTAACAGATATTGGGCTCTAACAGATATCAGTTCCCAAGAAACAACTTTTCCCACTAGAGAGGAAGCCCTGTTGGTTCCTATCCAGATGAGAGAAGGTATTGTATTGCAATGTTCTACATGATAGACTGTGAGCAGGAGTTTCTAACTGAAGCCCTTCTCTTAATAGACTGCTGCTCTCCAGAGATTTATGTGTATTTGAAGTATACGTATGTACATATTATTTTTATTAAATCGGTAAATTTTAAAAATTTGATTTAAATAAAACTATTTTCTATTCCTTCTGGAGCACAAAGATAAGTTATTTTCTTTTTTTCTGTTCTTGCTCTCATGTACTTTTATTTTCACTTTTTTCTAGAATTACAGAGAGATGATTCTGAGGTTTCATCTCCAGAAAACGTAAATAACCCATCAATGTATCCTGAATCCTCTAGGTAAAAAAAAAAATCAACCAGATTTCATCATGATGTGAATAGCAATTGATTTTTAGTGAGATTTTTGAGGGGTCATTAGCCTTTTGTTTCTTCCTTTTTCAGAAATGTTGATTTAACCTTACAGCTGAACAAATGAATTGAGGCTTTTAAAAAACTGCACTACTGAAGCAGGAAGCCACTACTCTGGCAAAAGAAACTAGAACAGACAAATGGTTTTAAGAGATCAATCTCACTACTACTCACTACTCTTTGGATGGAAATGTTAATTTTAGTTTCTGGCATCTTCACTGAAAATGTTGGGTCACTGGAATTGAAAACTATTGGTTGTTGGAGTAGGTTGTTGGTGTGCTGGGTGGATCAGCAATCTGATACAGAAAAAGCCCTTTCCTTATATTTGTATGTTTTCAACTCCAATTTGATTTGCAGACATAGCCCAGGAAATAGCCTTGCTGGTGGCCTGGTGAAAGGGGCCTTATCAGTGGCTGCCTCAGCTTACAAAGCATTGTTTGTTGGGCAAGCCTCCATGGATCAGGTAAATAGATCATCTTGTCATCTTATGAGACTCAGGAAACATGCCTTTTCTATGGCAGCCTCTGCTCTCTGGAACAATTCCTCCCCCTCAAATACAACAGATCCAGATCTTAGAGTTGTTAAGGCCTGGGTAGCTGATGCATTAGAAGCCATTTGAGTAAAAACCCTCTTTGTTTATTATGTGCTTGGTCATCTTTTTAATCTTTATATATTTGATTACTGTTAATATGATGGGGGTTTTTCTTTTTAATTATTTGTGTTGCATACTACCAAGTCATTGTTTAAAGTACCTGGCCTTATACATTTTAAAAATAAATATAAATCATGCACTAATAATGAGAAGAGTAAGGACAGGAGCAATGTATATTTTGTAGTTTCACAATTAATCCTTACAGATAAGGATACAGCAATCTAAAAACCAGGTTGCTAGTTTTTGTGAATGCAAAGATAAGCTTGAGAACTGGGTGATATAATGAATTATTACAAATAAGGAAAAGAATAAGAATACTGAGTATAGTAGAAATTATTCCAATTTAAATTTCACTGGGATGACTGTAGTTGGAGAATTCTTAGAGTATCTGAGGTGTACATAAATGTTTGCTGTATGCAAATTTGCATTTATATGTTTGTTTCCTCTTTATATTGATATTTCTGTATTTTTCATCCTTCCAGGCTCTTTCTGTAACCAGTGAAAATCAAATGACTTCATATCTGACTCACCTACATGAAATGGGTTTCTGTGACAGACACCTTAACCTCCATCTGTTGCAGAAACATAAATTTGACATGAATCTTGTTGTCATTGAGTTGCTGCAGCTGAATCGGGGTGATCGGTATGAGAACCCATACTGAACCTTTTTCACGTACATTAAAAAACTTAACAGCAACTGGCACCAGCAGCTTCTAGCTCCCTTCTGTCTAAGCAGAGCCAAGATGGTTTCGCTTTTATTTTTCAGTACATTATAATTCCTACCATCTCTATTATCCTACAGCTCAGGCATTAGAGTATCTAAATGTTTTCCCAAAACTGGTAAATGCCATATTATAGATAGGAGAAAAGAAGTGATTATGCTTCAGAAATATAAGTGGAGTTGATCTTAACAACCAAAGTAGACTGTTCTCTACTTTACTTCTCTTCTGGTTAAGCAATACTTTTATCCCACATTTAATGTTATGTGTCTTGCCAGACACTGATATTATCTGAAAACTGTACTCCTCATTAGGAAGATTCCATGCAAACCCACAATTTCATTTCTTGGTTATTTCCTTGTTAGAAGCAGAACTGAATTGGCTATGTGAATAAAAATACAAAGATGTAGCTGTTTATATTATATAATTATTGAGAAAAACAATATTGATAGTGACTGTTCAAGCTATTTGAAGGGTAAATAATCAAGACAAATTTGAGTGTTTAAAAATTATTTTTGTAGACTTTTACCAGCCAGCAGTATTTTACAGGAGTGAATACTGCTCTCACAAGCAGTATTCCTGATTTCTCTACCCAGGTGTTAGATCAGTTTGAAGTCCTAAAAAAAGCAATACTTTTAACAACTCCTCAGCTTAACTACATTACTAATATCTAATAGAATTTTTTGCTTAGTATGTAAAAGAAAGAAAAAACAAATATATGAATGAATATTTTAGGAAAATAATTTCCTATGTCTCTGTTAATCAAAACAAAGGACTCAAGAATCAATAAGGAATTTCTGCCTATATCCTCCTGAAATAAATACTGTAAGGATTTGATACATTCCTAAAGAGTTTACACTTGTTGATTTGACACTCAGGTATTCCTTTGATTTTAATTTCATATAGGATGAAAGGAATATTTGTTCATAAAGCATGTGAACAGTAATGGGATGTATAAAAGTATAGTTTTTCTGTGATTTTGGTAGGAATTACGATAGTAAATGATTGCAAGGGATTGAAATGAGAAAAGTTTCCTAGTGAGTCAGGATGAGGAGCTGAGGACAAGCTGCTTGTGCTATGATTGCTTATTTAATAAAATGTATGCAAACTGAATATCTGAATGGAAGAGTTTAGATTTGCAACTTCTCTTGGGCTGATGAGGAAAACCTTTAAATTACTAGGTAGATCTTCATATTTTTTTAAATTACTTTGAATTACTTCAACCAGTGAACTTTTTGTTTCATAAAAGGTGAAATATTCTTCTATTGGCTTTGTTTTATGAGAAGTTGCATGAATGATAATTTAAACAATACTGATATTAAGATATTGTTTATTGCTTAGATTAAGCACTATGGTCTTTTGAGTTGAAAAATAAATATTAAAAATGCACATTAGGTTTGCCTTTGTGAAAATGTGTTCTTTGATCTTTAGAATAATGGGTAAAGTCATATGGATTGCAAAAGAAACTTCTAGTAAAAGCAAAAGTGTTTCCATATAAATAAAATACATCTTCATGCTAGATAGCAACACTTGTACACTGAGGCACATTTATTATTCTTTATGCCAGGTGCATAGGTCCAAAGATTTCCTGATCATTTGAAAGACATTTCTCTTGCTCTTTAGAGATGCTGACACCAGTTACCTATTGTCATAACATAACTGTTATGTGAAATACTGAGTGTTAGTAAATGTGGATGCAGAGTGGATATTTTAGAAAGAAGTCAAACTCTCATTTAAAATTGGGGGGTGTTGAATTGTGTGTGTTTAATTTAAAAAACAGAGGCTTCTCTGTTCAGAGAATAAGAAATTAATTGATTTCTTTGCCAGCTCAAACTTTCATCCAGTTTATCAAGCAATCTTTAAAATAAATTTCTGAGAGTATCTGGTATTTGTACAAGTTCAGAAACGTGGCATAAAAATGCCATGGCATAAAAATACCAGTAATCTTATTTAGGGTCTGATATATACTGCCATATAACTTAAGGAACTTTTCCCAGGTCGGATAAAGAAAGATTTCTCTTGAATTAAGTATTCTGGAAAGGATCCATTAAAAATTATGAGGAGAGGGATAATTTTGAGATTGCCATCAAGATGAACCTCTTGACATCTGAGTAACCCTCATCTTTCCTTCTTGAAGCCACTGACTTTAGCCTAACTCTAAGAAAGTAAGATGCAAAGCTTTCTGCATGAACCTTAGTAACTGGCAAATCCCCTTGTTGCTTCTATACTTCCTGTATAGAAAGAAGCAAAAGCCTGTCTGTTATTCCATCTATATAGTATAATTCTCTGGGTGGAACTAGTTTGAAGATCACAAATTAAGTACAGGCTAAATCCATGTTCCTAAGGGCACTTTTGCAACAAATGGTCTTCCAAGTGAGAAGGTCTCTTAGGTAGAAAAAAAAGTTAAAACATATTTATTCAGGGCTGTGAGTGCAAGTCCTGTGGAACCAAATCCTGAGGCCAAATGCTGAATAGAAAGCAGATCGCAAGAGAAATTCTAGCTACATTTTACCTTCCAACTTCGCCTAAAAACCTACATCACGCAGCGATTAGAATAATTGCAGAAGATTCTGGAACGAGGAAATTTACCAAACGCATTGAAAAACTACATAAAATCCAGTAAGCGTATTTACATTCTGAATTTAAAGTGAAAGTGAACTAGCGTCTCCGAACGGGAGAAAGCGAATCGAATTCAGACACGCTTCATAAAGATCTTTGTTAAAATATGGAGCGAAATGCTAACCGATGGAAGCACGATCTCTATTCAATGGAGTATCAAAATTACAAAAGCACTTCCTTTTGCACCTTTTCCAAGGACCAAAACTAATGATAGGCATGATAAATTATTAAAATAATGTAAAACGCGGAAGGCAGACGCCCATGCATGTGAGCGTGCGTATTTACAATAAGCCACTCCTTTTATTTAACGCGACTCGTATAGGCCGCGCCTGTTATAGCAGACTTTGGCATGGGCTTACAGCGCGTGGGAAGGGTTAGGTTGGTTAAGCTACGAGCTTGGGGGCTCTTTTTTTTTTGGAGGAAGTTTTGCTGTTTTAACGGGCTTCACCTCCGTGCAATTGATACGTTGCAAGTACAATCATCAATGATACTTAGGGATATTTCCAAGAGCACTTTTACTGTCGAATAAAGAATCACGTTGTAAGTCACAAGGTTCATTTTTTCAGTCAGTGTTTCACTTTGGCACCTCCCATTCCCGGAAAAAATATGCGGATCTGAAGTCTTTGCTGCAACTCGGGGAGAAAAATGCACCTTAAAGGAACGATTGAAAAAGAAGGGAAGTGGCGGGTGAGGGTGGAGCTGCTTATTTCCCATCTCTCGCAGGAGGGTGGGAGTCGTGTGAAGGGACGAAGGCTGACCCCATTATAGTAGTTTTTTTTAATTTTATGTTTCATGACTATCATTGGCTGAGGAGTCCTAAGGATTTAGCGCCTGTCTCTGGCCTCGGCGGGATACGGTGAGCACATATCCTGAAGTTCTTCAGAAACCTTTCTAACGATTCGCATATGACCTTCCTGCCCCTTTTTAACCATACTGCACTGTTTTCTCTCCATCCACCCCTTCCCTCACCTATTTATTTTCCTCTTCTTTGCTTTCGTTATTATTTTCTTCTACTTTTTTTAACCTTTTTGTCTGTATTTGTTTTTCTGAAATCTTGCTGGGCCGTTATGAGGATTCAAAAACATTTCTCTCTGGTTTCATTTCCCACTTCTTTTAGATAAGTGGTTTTTAATATCTGTTGTTTTGCAGCAAAATAATTTGACATATGCTAACCAGAAAAATGCCCAGTTGGGAGAACAAGGGAACTTGAGTGAATTTCCTATTTGCTTGGAAGCAACTAATGAGGGGTGGGGTGATGTTTCTTGTGAAGCAAATTCATTAATTTGTACGCTTTTCAGATTGCATAGCGGAATGAGAAGGCAAAGTTAGTTCCAAGATGGCAATCGATCAACTACTGTTTTTAGCAACATTTCTCAGACATGAACAAAAACTCATATTAAAGCATAAGCTTTGCAGCTTATGGACTCTAGAATGCTGTTCATATATAATTCTCACGATTAATTTAGTCTATTGTGCAAAACCTAAACATTGGCTTAATGGAATTTTTTTTAACAGCAGTAACGTAAAAACAGCTTTGGTTCCTTGTTTTTTCCCCCCATTTCATCATTGGTAGGCACAACTCTGTTAGCTAGCTCCCTTTTGCCCTTTCTTCAGCAATTTGATGGGATCAATAGTTGAAGTTTTTCACAGCATTATTGTCTGCTAATATTTTGAAGTTACCATATATGTTAAAGATACAAAACAGTATTGTAGAGTTCTTATTAGATATGCAGTCTGACTTTCTAAAGAATCATGAAAAATGTGAGCTGTTTGCAGTGTATATAATAGCTGATTTATTTTAAATACAAAACTGAATTGTTTCAAGTGTAGATAGTTACAAATGATAAATAGAATCAATTATTTACTGTGCTTTATAAAATATTTATAGAAGACTAATTCAAAGACAAATTAGCTACTTAGCCAAGTTTTTATTAGTGTGGGCTGCTCAGAGTTGTGTTTAAAGTGGACGGCCATTAAAAACTTAAATAAACAAAACCTTGAGCTTATAAATTTATAAACAAATCAAGCTGGGGATTAATTAAAAAATAGATGACAAGTTTCAAATTCATCAATCAATTCTTTGTCAATGGGATAATACAAAAATAATAATGGGATAATGGGATAATACAAAAATAAAAAGTCCAAAAATTAAGTCAAATGTTTGTCATAGAGTAATTAAAAATTAATCTCAAAAAAAGAAATGGTGGACCAAATTCAGTAGATGATGAAAATATTATTTGTCAGTTACAGCTAGTATTCAGGAACAAAATAACTGCTTCCTCTGAGATAATTAAAAGCCATTTAGTTTTCAGTCTATTTTGTGACATGAGTGAAGTCCACAAGCGTCTGACCAGCCAGAAAGTAGAATTAAAAATTACAGTTTTTGTATTAGCAGAAATGGAACATAATTTAGAGTGGTTTGTTATATTACAGACAGTCAACTAAATTCTATCTAGAGTTGTAAGGGAGCAACACTTCAGAAAGAGAGCCCTCTTAAATAGAAGAAAATTATTTTCATTTGAATGTTGGCTTTATTCTATGAATCCTTTTTCCAAAAAGGTTGCCAGGCATAGTACAATGCAATCTATGATTACACCATAATTAAACAGAATGCCTTTTCTGTATATAAATGAACTTTGAAAAAAAAATTAATTGAAAGGGATTATTTTTGCAAAGTGGGATAGATTCAGAAAAGAATCCTCTTGAAATAATTTGTACTTAATTGTGTTATTTATTTATTCAAATTTTTGCCAATACATTTGAGCTAAAAAAAAAATAGTTGGAGCCATGGTTACCTCCAAGTTTTCTTCTGCTATAATAGCAGTTTCCTTTTTTAATGCAGTCAGAAGAGCTAAAATGTTATCCCATTCAGAAGAAATTTTTCTAAAAAATTTGGAGAAAATTTTAAGTATTGTGTGCATTACAATACCCCCTTTCTTTTTCAATTTTCTTATCAACTTTGTTTCTGCAAAGCATTAAGTAACTAATCTTCATAGAGCAAATTTGAGCATCTGACAGTGGCTGGGATCTTTATCCTTAGCAAATGCTACAAATTGTCCTAGCACTCCTGATGCATAGCCCAGCTGGAATGTTTAGGAGTGATCCTGAGATCTGTCTTTCTCTTCTGATAGGTAAATGTCATGCCCACTTAAGTTCTACCCAAGAAAATGTTTTCCAAGAAGCTGGATCTCTGCCTTCTAATTGTTGAAAGAAGTAGAGTCTTAAAAATAATAATATTTAGATCATAGTCTATGCAGTATTTTTTTTCTCCTGATTTCTAGGCTAATGCCTTAATTATAATGCCAAACTGGATCTCTTTTCCCCCATTAATGTATAACAAATCTGTAGCTAATCTTTAAGACTGGAGATGAATACTCACTTTTTTAAAAGGTCAAGATGATTCAAGTGTTTTTTTCATTTCTTTTTAAGTTATTGCAAGTTCTCATTAATACAACCAATGTTCAACCCAGAAAGCCACTGGAACAACTTTGGGTCAGGCACTTTCTTTCAGGGCAACTTACCTGATGTGGGGAAAAATAGGAGGGAACACTATATTTCCTGCCTTGAGCCCCTGTATAAAAGACAAAATATAAATCTATTCAATAAATTATATGAAAAACGATGGTGTACTTAGTAAACAGTTCTCCATTTTTCGAAGTGTTTCTGTTCTTGAAATGATTATTTGTTTGAACTTAAAACACCTGTGTGTCACTCACAGTACTGAATTAAATGGACTAAATTGCATCAATTTTACTATTCCACAAATGGTTAAACTTGGGTAGGATAATGCTTATGTATTAATGAAATTCCACAATTAGCTGAGCTTAAAACCATAAAGCAGCATTATCAGTAATTCAGCCTCACATACCTGGATGCAATGAATTCCTGGAATGTGGGGAAACCTTAAAAATGGACAGGTTTTTCTGTAGAAATCACTGATTTTAAATATGCTTTTTAAGATATGTCTAAGTCCTAAACTCAGGAATTAAGTGCTGTTTTATAGAATCAAAAGTCCTTTTTATGCTCTGATTTGTTAATGCTGCTTGTTTGCACCAGAGAGACAGTGTTTATGTACAATGGATAAAGCCCCCTTGTGGTTCAAGAACATGTTTACCAGAAAGGAGACAGAAGAAAGCAAATCGATTATGCAGAAAAATTCATGTGCTGAGAATAAAACATCCTGTTATGGCAGCATTAATGGAGCAGATGCTTCTGAGGTGTCTTGTGTTCCTTGTGGTAATCACACCAATCGAGGTTTTGTCACTTGTCCTACTTGCCAAGGCACTGGAAGAATCCCCAGAGGTAGGTATATTTTCAAGACTTGTTTTGCAGAGGTGACCTGACCTTGTTGATTGACATTTAGAGTCCAACCAGGCCCCCTCCTGTTTTCTGTATTGTTTAACCAAGAGATGCATTAACTGGACTTAGTAATACTATATAGATCTGCTTTGGCCTGATTAAAATTGCGGCAGACAGACAGGCAATTCTCATGTACCTTTGCAATGAAAATAATCAGACCCATACATTGTGCTTTGCACATGGGGAGGCTTTTGTTAAATTGACAGATCCCAGCAGTTGTGGCAAATTTGAATTTTCCTAAAGATTTGCTTTCCCAGATTATTTCCTCATTTTTCTCTCCTCTATTGTTCTCCTTCTAGAGCAGGAGCAACAGTTAGTGGCCCTCATTCCATATGGAGATCAGCGGCTAAAGCCTAGACGGACGTAAGCACAGTCTTTTTCTGTTGAACAAATTTCCCCTCATTTTCTTCCTCTGTTTCATCATAGTAGAATTATTATCCCCATTTGTTAGACGCTGCTATCAGCGATTGCTATGTATGTTGAGATGGGAAGAAATTCTGCTATCACTAACTGCCTGTGATCTGTTTTGGCAGGAAGCTGTATGTATTTCTCACAGTAGCCATTTGCCTGCTGACAACTTGTCTCATGATGTACTTCCTGTTCCCACGTTCAATTGCGGTGGTCCCCTCGGGTCTCAATGCCTCCACCATCTCTTTTGACAATTCTACTTCCAGCATCATCCTGAATATGACTGTAAGTTTAAGGAAGAGAGTGACAGAAGAGTGAGTTGGGGAGAGACATGGACCAGATTCATTTTACGAATCTTTTTTTAAATTCATCTGAGATTGAATATAATTTGTATGCTGGCTTTAGGAAGCAGGAAGAGAATATTGAAGGACCACAAGCTGAAAAGCATGTCAATTCTGATCTGGAAGCCTCTCTTTTGTCTAGTTTCTATAACATGTAGTTCAGGGGTGTCAGACTTGATTTCATTGAGAGCCACATCAGGGTTGTGCTTGACCTGGGGGGGGGGGGGGGGGGAGGTTTCATGTTGGGGACACCTGTGGTGGCCTGAGCACTCTTCTCCTGTTCCTGAGTTCCATTTTCGACTGCGACAGCCTTCTGCAACCCTCTGCTAGCTAAAACAGAGCTTGTGAGAGCCACATGTGGCCCTCACAAGGTCCATTTTTGCTGGCAGAGGCACTATGGGTCAGTCCTTTGCTGTTTCCAGGATGGCCCCGCAGGCCAGATCTAAGCACCCCGTGGGCCAAATCTGGCCCATAGGCCTTGAGTTTGACACCCCTGATATAGTTGCTCATTTTTCAAGGAAAGCTTGGTGAATAGGGTTAGGGATAATTTTTGTCAGAAGATCTATTTTAAGACTCAAGACTGGTGGGTAGAATAGTTATTGGGATAAACTTTGCTCCCAAATTAAATCTCAATCTTTTAAAACAAAAGAATAGATGATTAAATGAGATTAAAAGGAATAAAGTTTAGTCAGTCTCTTTCTATTTCTTTTAATCCAGGCCAAGCATTTCATTGGGTTTTGTGTGAGCGTGGTTCAATTTCTTTTAATCAAAACTTGAAACATGCGAATAGATAGTATTCAAAGAGAAGAAATTATATGTAACATAGTAAAAGTTCCAAAAATCTTGTGTCTTTTTTAAGTGGTTATTTTATCATAAGTTTCATCTTCAAAATGTTGTGACTGGTTAACGCATTACCATTTGATCTAATTTGTTTTTTTAAGGAGAAGATTTAAAAACCAGAATGAAATAAATGACCTAGTGCAATATCTGATCCAAGAATTACAGATGATACTCTTAACTCATTTTTTTTTTAAAAAGGGATTTGTGTGGCTCATTCCAGAGGATATTTTGCACAATAAAAGAAATACATAGTTAATAACACATCAAGAATTTATTTCCTACTCAGAACAGCTAGGGCATGAATGAGGATCTCGATATTTGTTGAACTCTTAGGTCATTGCTAACAAACCTTCTGACAAAAGGAAAATCTAAACATTTGCTCATAATTTGTATTGCAATCAAAACATAAAAATAAATTGAATTGAATTACACAAAAACCCTTCAGTGTTATCAAGCAGTAATTCAATTTATTTTTTTCCAGCCTTGAACTGCAATACTCTTCTAAAAAGTAAACATTTTGAGTACTTCATATAATGGAGTCTAAGATAATTTGCCAAAATGCATAGACATGTATTCATCGATAGAAAATGTGTGAGAGTTGACAGCCAGTTTAATTCTTGTGGCAAAGATGATGCTCCTCAGATATTGAGACTATGGCACCTAAACTAGCGTAACCTGTGGATTGGGTATAGAAAATTGTAGCCTAAAACATCTGAAGAGCCTACACCTGATGAAAATAGCAGAATCAGAATTCTTTTAGGAAAGAAAAAAAATCAGCTCATTAAATTCATGTTTGTTTTGAGGAAGAAGAAATTGAACTTAATTATTTTTATATATGGAATAAAATATAGTACATATGTGTTATATTGACAGATCAATCGTAATGGGTATTTTCAATTATCAATGTCATTTTCTTAACCTTCTTTGTTGAATAGGTTAAGTTGTGCAGTAAGTATACAATATATACTCTCTCCTTATTTAGCAACCACAATCCATTTCCTAAGTCAGAAGAAAAGTGGTCACTAAGCGAATATGTAACAGAAAAAGGGAAGGAGGGAAAGGGGGTGGGAGGGAGAAGGGGGGAACGGGAGAGAGAGAGAGAGAGAGAGAGAGAGAGAGAGAGAGAGAGAGATATGCTGTGAAGATGGTTGCTATTCTTTCATGCAGCAACGCCAGCATTACTCTGGCACAGAAATTTGGTCATAATGCACACAATGATTCGGGGTGGGTGGGTGGGATTATAAATCCTATTTACAAACAGTTGCTAAATTCACTAAAACTGCTATATAGTTCTTTTCCTTTGATTTCATGGTGAATGTGTGCTAACGTTGAATCACTAGCTTCTAACAACTTTATCATGAGGTACACTGTTTAGTTATCCAAAGGAATACCAGAGCAAGTGTGTAAAGATGAAATTGCAGTTCCCATAATGCTTTCTTTCTTCCTTCTATCTCTTTGTCATAACCTCTGCACAGACTCGTATCATCAGCACAACAGTAGCTGTACAGTAGCTTAACAGCATACCACACCCAAACATAAAAATGTATGTTGCTGACATTCAAAGCAGCATTATGCTACCAAGAAATAAGCACAATATTATTTCATGTGTGGAAATGCTGCATGCAAATGAATGTGCTGAAGAACACAGAAAGGACCAAGCTGTCTTCTATAAGCCTTCATCTCATGGACACAATGAAATTGATCGAAAGGAAGCTTTTCCTAATTTACTTCGGGTTAATGTTGCTCTGCAGGGAATGCACAAGCTTTATACAATCACCTGCCAAGATCCACGGCTTGCAATAGTGTCACAATAATTCTTAGCATACACAAAATATAAAAAACATGTCAGTTCCATGTTCTGAATAAAGTCTTGTATGTTAGTAGAGTTGTCTCTTGTGGCTTTTAAAAAGATAGAGCTAAATTTAGTGAATAATATACATAGAAAAACCTTCATCCAGGGCCAACTTTCTACTTGTCCAGATCACTACCACAAAACATTGTCTTCTTTCCTTTTGCATTCAGCCACTCATCCCCATAAAAGCAAATGACTATCTACTATAGAGGTGCTGTACTGTTTAAGACAGGAACCACTGGGGCTGTGCTTCAGATATGATTTCAAAAAAAGTGACATGATCTTGGGAAGAGACCTGCAGATGTGGACTGTGTTTAAGCACCTGTGCACTTTTGAATTAAATCTGAAAATATGCACAGACCTGGAAATCATACAATGTTTCATGATGTTTTGATATATCTTAAAAAGTAGCAGCAACAGAGGCAGAGTTTTAAGGGCTAAAGTTGAGGATTCTTTTATGAATGCAGAGTGTGTGCCAATTTATCTCTTTTTCCTTACCACCTATCCTTCTCTTTAGAACATATTAAATGTGACAAACAACAATTTTTATCCTGCGTATGTGGCTCAGCTTGACATTGAAGTCTTTCATAAAACAGTGGTGATTGGGAAAAAAATGGTGATGACTCAGTTGGATATCAGGCCTTTGCAGAGTGCCCAGGTGAGGACTTGAAGGGATTTACTAATTTGTCTGAACACAAACATGAATACACTTTGTGGTAACTTTCTCTTTCTGGTATATTTTTAGATCCTTTACAGTGTTTCTACTACAATCGTGGATACCAACACTTAGTAAGTATATCTCTAAGAAATGATCCTGCATTTAGCTGATTCATTTTAAAATAATGGTGTCAAAACTGAAATTTTACTTGTTTTGACAATTACATATCCATCTTTTAAGTAATTAGTTGATAGATTTGTATGTTGCAGAGCTAATGGAGATGCTTTTAAAATATTTGGAGGAAGAAGTTCTTTTTCTTTCAGATATATTTCAGAGGAGAAAAGACCTAATTCTAGATCATTTTGGCAATACAGAATTGATTATCCCCATTGCAGTAATTTAACATCGTCAAAAGCACTTCAGATGAACTTGAAATCCAACTGTATTTTAGAGTTTAAAAATACTTAGTTTGATTAAACATTGCTTTTATAAAGTTCTGACAATGCCAATTCCATGCTTAGTCAACAAATAATAATCCTTAGTTACAACAAAACCAACTGTTAAGACTTTAGATGGATATACCTGCAGTGCTCCAGAATCTACAGTTGTGTTTGCCCTAACACCTACCATGGCAGCATTAAGCTACTTGACTCCTATGTATAAGTTAGATGGAAATTAGGCCATCATAAAAAAACACTGTTCACATTTTAATCCCTTCCTCCTCTTTGTTCACCTTGATGGATTTGTATTTTCCTACTGAAGTGTTGGTCCCAATTGTGGGTTTACCTCACTTTGTTTCTTGCCCCTGTTGCTGGAAAAACAGGCACATCACTTTTCTTCCCTTTGGTGGGTGTTTAAGGATATGTGGATTTCATTGATACACTGATACATTTCACTTCAATTCTTATACAGTACTTGAACTTCAGTTCTTGTACAGTACTTGATATTTTCCCATCTGATGCCTTCTTGGGTCCAGTAAGGAAACAAACATGGTTTTATCATTATTCTTAATACTTGAACGAAAAAGAAAAGGAAAAACCCTTGTCCATGTCACTTGATTAGAAGATAAGATGTAAGAGAACTCCACCATTTCAGTGCCATCAATGAGCTTGTAAAAACGCAAGCAAGCATCACCCATTCACATTTATTTCTGTCCCTTCGGATGTAAGGGGAAAGTAGCAAACTCTAGTCAAGTTCACTTAGTTAAAAAAAAAAAAAAGGTCCACCTTTAACCATTCCATCTATGAATTATTTAAAAATGCCTAGCTTTTCACATTTCCACTGATGAATTTGTCCGTGAATGTGTTTATGGGTGTCTACACACACACACACATAGACTAAAAAGTCCAGCCTTTCACCATTCCATAGTCCAGCAACCCAGGATGAAATAGTGGCTGAGGCTTTGTTGAGGATGATATGTATTTCTCCTCTTAAGAGATATTAATGGCCTATCCTTGACATAAGGCAACCTGGTTGGCAAATCAATCCTTAAGGATTTTTCTGGTTATTTTCCCCAAGATACTTTATGGATGCCAGGAGTTGAACATACAAATTTCTGGAATATACCAACTTCATTTGTAAAATCTAGAGAAACTAGTCTAATTCAATACATACCATAAAGGAATAGTAAAATACAAAATTAATTAAAGCATGGTTTTTCATGTGCCACGTAATAACAGTGAAATTCCCCTTCATTATTTCAGCAAAATTTGTACATGGATCAAAATAAAAGTTCACAATGTTCTTCTGCATATACAGTAAGTCTGAATCTCTTTTCTGTTTTGTTCTCCCCTTATGATAGCTAACTCCTGGTCTGGTATTTGTATCTTCTAATCTAAAATCCTAATTGTTGGACGGTCGATTTACTCTGTAGGCCAATATTTCATCCTGCTCAAATGAGCATGCTTTTAATCAAGACAATCTTCTCTAACTTAGATAGCTGTTTCACTCCTCGTTTAATCATTTCATCATATCAGTAATCAATGTAATTAATGTAGTTTCTATTGTGTTCCTAACAATTATATCACTTCTTTTTAAAAAAATCATATATTGGTTCTCTCAATGATGACTATTAAGCTTCCAGATCTGTTGTTAATTTTATATTCTGTCTGTCCTTTATCTGTTTCAAAATAAATCATTGAGAATAAAGACTGGGGTATAAATTATTGGTAGAAGTGACAAGGAGGTATCATATTTGTAAACATTCCTATTTTTCTCTCCCACCAGAGGTACCTTGACTTGTTCCTATCTCTCTCATTCGGAGCAACTCTCCTTTGAAAATTACCAGTATGTGGATTGCAGAGACAGTGTCCTACTGTCTTGATTCTAAAGTCTCCCATGGCTACAGTAGTCCTGGAGGAACTTATTTTGGCTGTCTTCAATCCCCTTCAGAGAAATTGCAGTAGCCTGCTTTTAATGCTTCTGGGGACTTGTAGTGTGGGAAGAAACTGAAGTTTTGATTTTATGAACAGGAAGATGGCTATGGTAACACATTCCTTTTAAGATAGCATACAATGATGCTAATGGACCAGCAATATTCTAAAAGAATAGCAGAATGGCACCCGAATGCAGAAAATGGAATGCAAGAACATGCGAACATGAGACAGTTATACTTCATATTGGAATTTCAGTGGATTTATAGGCTGCATGGATCACAAAGTAGCTGCTGAATTTGCCCTGATACGTTTATTTCTTTTGGAAATTACTCCCTAGAACTGGGATTTCTAAACAATGAAACTTACCAATGTAGAGTTTATGGAGGGCTGGGAGCTGATCTGATGCATTTTCATTTTCCAAGAACTATCTTCTCCCATACCAATAAGAGGAGGAAAACCTGAACTTTTTGAAGGAGGCACTACCACTGAATTAAGGTTGTACTTCTTCTCCCACTAGATTTTCCCATGTCCGTTAGTTCAGCTCTTTTACAAGTTGGAGGGTGGGGGGAGGCTCACAAAGTCAAAATTATTGCTCTGTTCAAATCCTACTTTTCTAAATCTATTTCTACTATAGCATTATTTTCTTGGTTTCTTTTTAATTAACTTTTTAAAAGCATAGAATGCAACAACAAAAAACCCAAAGAAAAAATTAAAAGGTTTACTCACTATTGGAGCTGAGAGGCGAATAAAATGCTGAAAATATTTTCTCTTGGACCAGTACCACAGTTCACATACAAAAAATGACCTATAAAAAAATGAGTATGCCTTGATAGAATTTCTGGCCTTTAAAATTAGGTAGCTTTGAAGCAAATATGCAATGCTGCCTGGTGATAATATATAGTAGAAAAGACTGGTGAATAAGAAAAATTGGTCACTGGAAAAGGTAATTATTTACACATCTTTTTAAATAAATACTTGTGCAATACTTCCTAAATTCTTCCAAGTTTGGTTTTATTTGCTATTCAGACTATTTAGTACTGCAGTGTAAATATCAGGTAGGTTGGGATCTAATGAATCTTTCCTGGCTGTACTTCTTATTCTTTTTTTATTACAGCTAATAGATTAGATACCAATAGTGGTTTATTTTCTTGTTCAGGATGATCTTATTTCCTCTTCCTTCTTCTTCTGAATAAAGCTACTTTGCTACAAATAATCACGAGACAAATAAGACAATGTGTGCTTGGACTCCTTCCTTTTAGCTTCTCTGAAACGAATTGACAATGGGCAAATTAAAAACAATTGACCAAGACTGTGAGGTGGGTTTAATATATTTTTTTTAAATATATTAAAAACCAACCCACAGTTTCAGTCAACCAGAAGCAATAAAGTGAGCAAAAGAGTTTGCAAAAAAGAAACTCTTACAAAATTGGTTCAACTGGATTTCTTGGTGAAAGCCTAGAAACAAGGAAGGGTTTTTCTGGGTAACAGCCTGCTTCTGTTTTTAATTTCTGTTCTGAAACTTCTGTTTTAGTTCATGGGCAATTACAGAATAGCAATGTCTCAGCAGTGCTAAAGGGCCCAGCATGACAACTTAAATCTGTCCTACCAGATTCTTTCCCAGTCTTTTTCAAACCTGTTCCCCAAAACGAAAGAGATAACAGGCAAGTTTGGGCTGTGGTTGGAAGTGTCAGGGAGAAAAGTGGGGAGGGGTTATAGCAAAGTTTCACATAAAGGCAGGCACTATGGGTCTGTGACTCCAGAGAACTTTTATTATACTGTCAGAAGAATTCCCGGAAGATTAATCTTGACCGTTATGCTCTGGAAGACTTCAGCTCAGACATGTGGCATTTTGTCCTGCAGCAGTTACAGAACATTTCTCCATGTTGTTTTCAGCCGTATTGTTACCACTGTTGTATGTAGTCTAAAGACTAGAAGAGAAAATATAGCCCATTAATCCCTAATCCAACACCACATCCCATCCTACCCAAAGCCATATGTTATAGTTAGAACATGTTGGAAGAACAAATCTGAAGATGGAAAAGGCATGCCAGTCAAAGGAACAAAAAGGCGATGGGTCATAGAATCACTAAGAATGAAGCCACAGAGAATGCCAGAAGCCTTATAGAGAAAGACACAGGAGATAAAGGAGAACTACTTGCATTAATCACAACTAGTTGCTTTAATATCCTACCTAAAGTTTCAATGCAGAAAAATCCATTGAGCTCTACAACACCACCTATCTGGTGGTACAGTGGTTAAAATGCAGTATTCACCACAGCCTGGAGTTTGATCCTGACAGGGCTCAAACCTTCCATCCTTGCGAGGTTGGTAAAATGAGGATCCAGATTGTTTGGGGCAATATGTTGACATTGTAAACTGTTCAGAGAGTGCTGTAAAGCAGTGGACTACTGGTGGTCCGCAGAAAAGTTATTTGCATTTTTATATTGCACTAAATATGGCCCCTGGGCTGGATACATGCAATGAACATTTGTGTTGTTGCAGAGAGGTTCACCTTTTGGGGTCTTTTTGTGCTGGTCGGAGGGTGGTAGAAATTCCGACTTGGGGTCTGCTTCAACCTCCTGGTGCAGGGTTTGGGGCAAAGGCTGGAGGGAAGCGCCACTGGTGGCGAAGAGCCAGAAGGCCTTGTTCCAGTGGGACTGTATCATGGCCTTGGATGGAACCAGCTGAGCTTCCAGGCGCCAGTACCTGGCCTTGCACTCCCACAAGTCTTTCCTCTGCTTGGAAAGCCTATGCTCTTAGTCCTCAGTGAGTTGCTTCTGCTGAGCCTCTTTCTCAATCAGATCCAATTTGAACAGGCATGATATTCTTCCAATTAAAATCGGAATTCCAATTTTTTTGGGAATCGCCCCCTCCTTTCCCCCCACCCCTTCTTCTCCTTCCCCTCCCCTCGGAGTCCCCGAGCCAGGGTTGCTGGCGGGGGCCCCGCCCGGCCCCAGTCCCCCGTGGCTCAGGAAGGGGAAAGGCAAAAAGGAAGAGCCGCGGCGGCGCTTTGCAACGGCAGCAGCGGCTCCTGGTTTTGCCTTTCCCTTCCCGAGGCAACGCGGGACTGGAGCCGCGTGGAGCTGCGCCGGCGGTAGCAACTCCTGACAGCCCCAGCCGGATACCTGAGCGGAGCCCGGGCGGTGCGAGCGGAGGCCGCTGAGCGGCAAGAAAAGGGAGCTGGGCCAGCCACAGACCAGCCTCCGTGCAACACGCCGCCGCCCGGCCCTGGCGAGGGAAGGCAGCGGGCGCTCCCCGGGCGCGCGGCGGGGGGTCTCTTTTGGCCGGCCCCGATTTTTTTTTCAGAGCGGAATATGATGCCTGTTTGAACTAAGCTAGCTCTTTTGCCAACTCTTGTGGTAGCTGCTTAGCTCCAACTGCATCCTGTTGGGGCCCTAAGGAGCCCGGGTGGGGAAGCGATGAGGGCTGGGAGTGGGAGACAAGTAGAGGCCAGTGAGGCGCCCCTTGATGTGACATTGAGTGGCCACACCCACCCAGTCACACGACCACCTAGCCATGCCCACCTACCCACTCATTAGGCAGATATTAGTGGTCCGCGGGATCTAAAATGAATTTAGTGGTCTCTGAGGCCCAAAAGGTTGGTGACCCCTGCTGCAAAGCACTGTGAAGCCATATATAAATCTAAGTGCTATTGCTGCTGTTATACCTATTGCTATTTAGTCGAATAGACTTTGGCAACAACATGCCTTTTCTTCCTATTACCTTGACTTCTCAAGGCTTCAAGGTGCATTTAAAACTTCAGCCAGGCTTCCGCTATGAAATGGGTCAGGGAGGTTGTGGGCACTATTCTAGAAAAAAATCCCAAAGCAGATATACAACAGGGAAGCAGGCATGTTTCCTTTATATGGGACGTAAAGGGTCATAAAAAAAGTCTGAATATCTAGGTCAGGGGTGCAAACTCGATTGCATTGAGGGCCACATCAGGGTTGTTCGACCTCGGGGTGCCAGAGGGTGGGTGTGGCCAGCATGACATCACTCGTGTCAAGGGGCGCCTGTGGTGGCCAGAGCACTCTGCTAGCGAAAATGGGTTCCCAAGTTCAATTTTTGACTGCAACGGCTTCCTGCTACCCTCTACCAGCTAAAACAGAGTTCGGGAGGGCCATGCACAGCCCTCACAAGCTTCGTTTTTGCTGGCAGAGTGGGCCAGTCCTGTGCTATTTCCAGGGCAGCCCCACGGGCCAGATGTAAACACTCCATGGGCTGAATCCAGCCCCCAAGCCTTGAGTTTGACATCCCAGATCTAGATTGTCCAATAGCACTTTTTTTAAAAAAAAAAATTACAACATTCCTGAACTAGATTGAAATGGGCCCCATTTCAGATCTGGGGATAAATAGGTCTCCAGCAGCAGGGAAGAAAAACCCATCCTTTACTTCTGTCATCTTACCTTATATCTTTTGAGCAGTTTACCACTTTGACTTGGAACATGCTCTGTCTGGCATAGGCAACGTTCCTGCTTGATCTCTGCAAAACGAATGAATTTATTCAGGCGATGCAGACAGTTTCATAGATCATTCTATGACTACTTTCGTATATAGGTGACCACATTGAAAATACAGTAATGATAATCAGAAGTGCAGGTGGAAATGGGGAAAGATTACACAAAGCCCAGAGAATGCAATTCTAGGCTAATTTAATTTGTAGTATCTCTGACGGGGGGGGGGGGGGGGGGTCTAGTCTTTACCTAAGCAGAATTATCTTATGGAACTCTGCCATCCTTTTTTACGATACTGTTGCATGATGATGGTGTTATGATGTTTTCTTGCACATCTTGTAAGATCAGCACAAACTATTAGAACACATCTATCAGAACAAGTTTTGTGTAGTGGTTAAGGTATAGAAACTCAAGAGATGTGACTTCTAGTCTTGCCTTAGGCATGAAGAGCTGGGTAACCTTGGACCAGTCACTTCCTCTCAGACTTAGCAAGGAGACCAACCATTTTCAAAAATGTTGCTAAGAAAACTGCATGGACCAGTCCAGGCAGTTGTCAAGAACGAAGACTGACTTGAAAGCACAAACATCAAATTGCCAAGAATGAAGACTGACTTGAAAGCACAAACATCAAAGTGGACCGGCATCGGTCCACTTAGTGGACCGGCATCGGTCAATATCCAAGTGGACCGTTCAATATGCATAGTGGACCGGCATCGTTCAATATCCAAGAAATAAAGTTCTCTTTTTGAAAAAGATGTGCGGTGTACTTGGTAGAGCTGTTTACACGGCATGCTTATCTACAGTTTATCTAATTAATTAAATTTTCCGGATTTGTACAGCATACTGTACTTCATTACGTGACATAGAAAAGAAAGAGGCAGTTTGAATTGCTTCCATTGCATTTCAAATTCCCAGAGGTTGTGGGAGGAGCTGCTGGCTGCTTGTGAAGGAAGCAGAAGGTGAGTAGAAAGGAGAAAGATAGCGGCCCATATAACTATAAACCAAGAATACCAATAAGACATTTAGGGTAAGTGCGCTTGAGATTGTAATTGTATTTTATTTCAAAATGACCGGCTTAGTTCAGTGTAATACTTGTTTTACCGCTGTCTTTCGCAGTACTCTCCAAACTTGGATACTGTCCTCTTTGTAAAAAAATTACCAGGCTACATGGACAGATTACCTATCTAGAATCTCTAATCTGTGCTCTCCAAGCAGAATTTAGGTGCCCAATC